GACAACTGCTAATCTTATTCTATGGAAAGGAGGACATCAGATTTATTTCATAACCCAAAGGGAGCCCCCTACAGCTTACAGAGTTTTCCTTCCTTTAGCTGTACGATCCAGTATATAAGGATAGTATTGCTGTGGGTGGGAGAGGCTATGTAAGTGTGCCATGTAGAGAAAAAGGTTGGGAAACGCTGCACTAGAGAGCAGTTTACCCTGCTGCTTTTTAATGCCTATAAGGCCCACTCTTATTCCCTCTGAACTGCCACTGACTTTGCTGGCAGCAGGATCAAGTCTGGGGCACCAAGCAAAAGTGGGTGTCAGGGTCCAATCTGGTGGCAACCCAAGCCAAATTTCTGGGTTGGCCAGTAACATTCATGTTACTGCCAGTGTATCACAAGGACATGGGAAAACCAGGGACTGCTTAAAAAGTGGAAGCGGACACGGCAGCTTTAGACTGGACTTTTCAAGCATCTCTGCTTCATTTCTAGGAAAAACCCATGATGGCTGGTTGACCCCATGGTAGAAATAATTCCTGCTGGCTCCAAGAGGCTCATGGGAGCCACAGCCATACAGAAAGCAATGAATGCTCAGTCACCTGGTCTGAATATAGGGCTGGGGCCAAAGCCCATTGAAGCCAATGGAAAGGCTCTCACTGAGCATGGTACACTTTGGGTCAGGCCCATGAAGAGGATGTGACAGAAGCAGCATGTCACACCCTGGTGTGTTCTGAATGGGTGTAAATAAGTCCTAGCGTGCAACAGCGAGTCTGTACTGGAGTACAGCACAGACTTCTGGGCCAGGAGAAAGAATGGATTACACTCCTTAAGACTCCCCTGGACTCGCATCTCAAATTGGCCCACAGTTTTAAGTCTTTTCATGGGTGACATTCATCCCTGCGGAAGTGTAATGTTGCAAGAGGACTTTGTCTGAGGCTTTGCACAGGGGCAAAGTGCATCCTATAACAGTTAGCAGCAAGCAATAAGGGGAAATGTATGTAGTAGGCACCTTTTCCCAATGATTTGTGCGTACGTCTTCACCAGATAGTCCGATATGTTCCGGCCTGTCAGGTTCTGTAGGATGTCAGCAGTGTTTTGCTCCCTCTGGGGTCACAGGCAGGGGAACAAAAGGACACTGAGTTGGGTGTGCTTTGTTCACATCCCACCCAGAAGCCAGTGTCAACCCCTCAGTTCCCCCCCCAACCCCAGCCCATGGGCCCCAGTAAACTGGAGAACAGTCAAGTCCCCTCTTACCTGTGGAGGAGGGAGTCCCCCTGCACCGGGAGGGCACACAGGCAACATCTTCTTGATTTTCTCATTGCTGCACTCACAGGATGGGGAGGGATTCTCCATGCTCCAGTTGCCATTCAGAAGAATGTCCCTGACTGCATCAGGGACTGAAGCTGTGGTCCACTCCTTCTGCCCAACGATGCAAGGAGTGTCTCTGAGCCACGACAGAGCCAAAGCAAAAATGCCATATAAGACTGGCTTTTTAGAAAGTTTTAGGCAATAAAGACAATGAGTGATGGCTGGGACTTGCTCAAGTGCTCAGCCTTGGGTTCACAAAGTCTCCACTGAAATCAACACCCAAATTCCACCCACTGAGCTCTGTTCTCATCTAAATCAAAAGAAAGCTCTTCGTAGAAGCAGGCCAGCCTTGAGCATGTTGGATAATCACACCCTAAGCTACAGCACCTTTCTGGGGAACTCAGGGCTTTAATTCAGCTTCACAGTTCTCACAAAACCTGGTACCACAAAGGCATGGGTTCAAGTGTACCCACAGTGCCAGCTCTGTCTTTGAGGTGACATGCAGTCTTGGGGAGCACAGTGGGCATGGGGATTGCTCACCCTTGCATCTGCTGTGGCCTGGGTTTTACTTACAGAATGGATTGTCCTTGCATGCAGCGAGTTCCAAAGCCAGGCTCATTGATAAGAGCATCCAAAAGCTTCTGCATGCCTGCATCCTCTGGGGCATCGTTACTAGAGGGGAGTCAGAGAGAAAACATCAGGACCCTGGGATGGTGCACACAAAGCCAACCCAACAGCAAGGCAAGGCAAAGACACAGGGAAAAGGTCAGGGGAAAGAAATGAGGGAAGTTTTCTCTGGAGAATGTTCAGGCACACGTGTATACACATCACACACACATACACACACTCTCCCTCTTATTTCTGATTGTTATTTATCTACTTCCAGACTTACCTAAAACCTTGAGGGAAAATTTTCTAAGGCACAGATTGAACATGCCTGCCCAACTCCCATTGAAAGTCTATGGGAATTAGGTGTCTAACTGCCTTTTGAAATAGGCCTTTGAAAATCTCCTCTCCAGTGGGAAGCTCAAAGCACCAACATGCAATCAGTGTCTGACTGCTACCAAACATGACTGTCTCAGTGCGGCTGGCAACAGAATAAATCATCCAAGGGCACCTCCACATGCCTGTACCCACCCTACTGCTCTCTGCACAAAGGTAAAGGTGAGCTGGCAGCTACACAATTAGCTGAGCAGTTCCTAATCCTTGAGAGAGCTCTGTGAAGCCCCATGCAGTCAAACACATGGGGTAGGAAGAGGCAGAGTAGGAGTGAGAAGCTGCTGCTGCAGGACTTGTCTTCCTCCCCAGGAATATGCCCTGCAAACATCATCCCCAGCTGCTGGGAACAACAGCTCTTCCACCCATGGATGTGCAAGTTACCCACACATACATGAGCCCACAAACTCCATGGAGTAACTGTGGCCACTGCTCTCATGGAAAGCAACTCAGCAAAAACTTTTGCTTCCTTTTCATGTGATGTAGCAGCAGAGTGCACTAAGTTCTATGGAGGGAAAAGCATTATTATAGACCCCCTCCTCTTTTTAAAGCAACATAAAGGTCAGTAGTGTCTTTCAGTTACACTGTTTGGTGAAAAAGGAGATCAGAATTTGCAGGCACACCCCAGCTGCCTGGACCCCTGTATCATGCAAAAGGTACCTGATAAAGGTGTACTGCTCATCATACATCCATGGCTGCAGCTCCAGGCTGGGGTATTTGCCAAAGGGAGGGACAATCAGGCTGAACATGAGGGCAATGCACACAAAGACAGCTGGCAACACAATCTGCAATCACAATGGAAGAGGGACAGTTGCCCTGAAAGGGGTGTTTACAGACTCAAAACAAACAATGCCTTGAACTACAGCTGGCCAGGAATATTTCAATGAAATTTTCAGCCAGGAAGATCTCTCAGAACCATGAATCCCCAAGGTCAGAGCATGGGAGACCCAGGTTCAAACTCCTGCTCTCTGTAAGGATCCTGAACCTGTCTCCCCCACATCCTACACCTGAGTACAAAAGTACTGGCTATTCTCTGATGGGTCTGTCTGAATCTCACTTTTCCACAAAAACATTCCAGAGGGTCTCAATCCTGTTCTGATACAGAAAAAAAACACATTTTGGACCCTCGATGTTTTTGCCCGACAGAGGACCCCTTTGAGGACAAGCCTGGGTTTACGTCAGGCCATGGCAGCCCCTGGGAGGGACCAAGATAACCAGATCACCTTCCAGAAAACTCCAAAAGAGCCACCAGGTCTCACCTGGGCGAAGAAGCCCTTCCGGCTGCGCTTGGCGATGAGCAGCCTCTTCCACAGCAGAGCAACAAACTGTTGCTGGGTGAGCTTCCAGCCTTTCATCTGGTAGGAGCCTTTGCCATCCATCCCACTGAGCAGGTCTGTCTCTCTGGATTCTGCCAACAACAATCACCAGATTTCCACGTGAACAGAACAATAACTTCTCAGTCATGGGCTGCTTCCTCTTGGGAAGGGAGTGTGTGTGTGCCTGGGGAGGAAATGGGGGCAGGGGAGAAGGTAGAAAAGCTGCACACAGCCTTAGCTCTCTATCTCCTGGCTCAGAGCAGGGTCAGGCCACCCAGCACTTAAAATGCTGTTGCCCACAAGAACCTTGCACTCCTGCCAGCAGCTATGAACTAGAAGTGACAACAGCACAGTCTTCTAGTAATGAGGGAAGCAAATCTCAGAGCCTATGCCCGCTGATGACACATGCCCTGGTCTCTAACCCAACTTCAAATCTCAGGACTTTTTGTAAAAGTACCCCAGCAAATAGGGACTGGCACAAAGGTACAGAATAAGGGGAAAGGTGTCAAAGAGGATATGCATTTATCTATATTTATTTTCTCTGTGAGGCAGGAATCAACACACACTGAGGCTGAGGCTCTGGAAACCACCAATGGGACTAATGCCACATGGACATCAATCCCTAATGCATCTGATGGTACAGCTTGTGAAGCTGAGATTTCTGAAGCTATCTACTCATTAAGACCTCCCACATGAAGAGGTGGCCCTGAGCCAAGACATTAGTCCTGAACACCTGCAAACACTACAGAAAAACATAGTTCTGGAGCTCAGCTTTTCAGCCTAGTGCCACCCTGAATTATAAGGCATCAAGTAGCAGACATGGTGATCTATTTATTCTGAGAATGGGAATATAAACCTGGCCTTGGTGAAGGGCATTTTGAATTTCAAAGGGCAGGTAAATACTGATACAAGAGTAGGAAAATTTAACAGCTGAGTTACAGCGTGCTTTAGGAACAAAGTTATTGTGTTGATGTCACATCTCCATATTCAAGATGTCACTGTGGATACTATATCAGTATAATGAGCTGGGCCAGTGCCCAATGAAAACAATGGTAAAAGCTGCCTGTTGACTTAGTGGGCTTTGGGTCAGGCCCCACAACTCCCATTCTGGCAAACTGCCTCCTGTTCGTGCATTAGATTCTTCAGGGCCTTACCACCCACCTCACTGCCCCCGACCACCTTCCAGGCTCTGAGTGCCTCACGTTTAGCTGACCCCCTTCTTGGAGCAGACCCGTTAGCCTGGGGGTAGGGCTGCCACCACCCAGGGTCTGAAGTGATCCTGGCTCTGTGCCCCCTGGGAAACACAGGCCTAGTAGCCCTTGGGGGTACTCGACTCACTTCAAGAACCTGGTGTGCTTCCCTCAGTCTGAAGCACAAATAGTGGTCTCCCTTAGTCAGCCGAAC